AGCAACAGTTGCAGTACATCTCTCCATTTATTTTTTTTCTTGCTGAATTTGCCTTTGCAGATCTTCATCAATGCCACTTTGAAGACGAATTCGGCGCTCAGTTTCTTTCCAAGCAGCAAATGACTCACAATGACGGTCACTATTTTCATGGGCATTTAACTTTTCAATTTTTTTTCCACTTAGAGAATCCACCCTGTATTTTGAAAGCAGACCGACTATCGGATGTCATACATGTAGATGAAAAAAGAAGACAACAAAAGCAGTATGCTGCTTTATGTAGAGGTGAATACACCAAACAGGAACAATTGACCTCTTGTCTATTCAGAAGGCGTCGTTTAAACCAAAATGCAGTCATAGAACGCCCATCTTTGGCATCAAATGGACATTCTTTATGTTGTAATTCATGTGCTCCAACTTTGACAATCGCTGTGCAATGTGCATGTGTTACAACTGCTGAGCCTGTTGTATCAAACATCATAAATCCAATATCTCTGTGTGTTAAAATATTTATTAGGATCCTCTTTTAGCTTAGCAACACTATTCAGTGGATTTGTTTTTGACAAAGTGGAATCCACTTGTTTATTATTATTGTAGCTTTCAACAGGATAGAGAACAGTTTCTTCATTGTTTTCTTTTTCAGATGAAATAGCATGGTCAAAATCTTGCACTTTGATCTCTTTGCTGCCATCAAAAGGAACAGATGCTGGCTTACTGGTGTCATCACTTCCAGCAAGGAAAGCTCTCATCAATTTGCTTGACTCCACCATCGAAGCTGCAAATTGTGCACGTTTTTTTGCGTTCCTGCGCCCCACTTTCTTTTTTTTCGACATAATGGGCTAAAAGAATAAATTAATAAATACTGACTACACTATTTAGTTGCAATATGCAAATAGTCAGATGAAAGGAAGCATTGTACTTTCCTAAGTTCCTTACCACAAATTATATTTAAATGATACAAATATAGTTGCAACTCAGGACTAGTTACGCACATCTTGACCTGGTATCACTTTAACTTCCATTATTTAGACCACCCATACTCATGTTAATTAATGTGACACAACAGTAAGAAAATCAATGCAGATGGGTGTATACGCTGGTAAATCATGCTTATGAGCACCATATAAATTACTGGCAATTGCTAAATTTCATTTAAAAACTCGACAGGTTTAACTACACGAACATTACATAAGACAAGTCTGAAATTGCTCGAATGAAAATTACACACACACACACTATGGAGAAGGGTGTAATCATAACATAATATAAGGCTAGAGGCTCAAAGGCTATATTTAATATTAAATGTTTTGATAGAATGAGAACTTAAATATAGGCTAACTAATTAGTGGTGCTAGATTACAGTTCCTAGATTAAGTCGCTAGTACATCTAGATCTAATATTAATGTTAGACCTGTTATTTCCTTTTTTAGTCTCATGTTTGGATCTAGATGTAATAATAAGAATGACAGAAATTT